GCTCGTCGATGTGACATTAATGCGCGTTAGATCTTGTCAAGCTACGCCGCATCGCGCCGGCCAGAGAGCTGCGCTATCACAAAGAGTTGCCAAACCGCGTTGCGTCGTTTAACGGTACGCGCTTACGATACAGCGTAACTCTATTCCGTTGATAAATGGTTCAGATTACTTTGAATATCGGATGATGCGCAGTCAGAATTTTTCATAGTGACTGAATAGCACATTGAAGATCAATGACGCAGCTACTCAAATGACTTGGTTCATATAGCTAACGGTGTAAAATTAACCATTTCTGAATACACGATATAATCAATGATTACAGATAAACTTATTTCTAATTTGCATAAACAGAAGTTATAGAAGATCCTAAGGGACTATGACTGCTCTAACGCTATAATCGCACAGGCTTTCGTAGGCACGATAGAAACGGGAGGGAAACCGTCAATGTGCACGTGCGCAGAAAAATGATGGTGATAAAGTTCGGCGAACAGCTGCGGGGAATGTATCGTCGTTATTTGTCCGAGCGCACGGTTCCTTTTTGCCCTCGTTGCCACCCACCACTACACCGACAGCGGCGACGACGTTTCATCACGTCCGGGTTCTTGCGGAAACGCTTGTAAAGTTAACCGAATGGACTTTTATAAAAAGCGTTACAAATGCAACCGTTTCGTGTGCCGCAACGAGTACCGTTTACGCTCGAATTTCCACGACCGCCCCTTAATTGACCCAGAATTCGCTTTTTTCGTTCGAACACTGAAGATCTCGCTATTTCAAGCATCTACTGACTCTACTCTTGCCCAATGATATTATTTGCGAACTCCACAATCGTCGGAAATGTTAATTCTGGAATTATATTCTACCGTCTGAATGTATTTATATCGTCTGAAATGTTAATTCTAGAATTAACACTTTCTATTCTAATAAGAAATATTGACAATTTATTTTATAGCAAAAGAGTTGTAAGAACAAACTAACGTTTGATTTTATTAATTATGTCACTATTTGATATTATATTACGCATTGTGGACATCAATTTGCTCAAGAATTCGTCAAATCGCATTTTACTTGAACAGTGAGCATAAACATAATTCGCATAATTCGCGAAGATTAATTTATTCGATGGCTATCTCTGTAAAACTAAATGCACTTTGAAAAAAATCGTATCCTTCATGAAACCAAAGCCATTTTAGCACTTGCCCAGAGGTGCTCTATTTGCCGGAAAATTTGCTCCACTTTGCTTAGCGAGAAATTCTCTCTTGCTCACATATACACGTACACTCACCCTTACATACGCATACCCTCTTCTTCTCACCCCGTCGAGCCGCAAGCATCCAGCTCGCATCTCGGCCTCATCCAATTCCCATTGGTTGTAGCGGTGCGACGGGCGGGCTATTCGAGCAAAAGCGACCGGGTAAATATCTTGCAGTGACGGTAAACGGAATTGAATAAACATTTTTCAGCAAATAGAACCGACAATGGTACGAATTTAAAAGTCGCTGAGACGAGCACAGGTGGTTCTCCCTCTCGCCATGCCAGCGGGAAAAGCGCCGAACGGAAAAATTGCATTTCACCCCCACCTGCCCACAACCCTGCCCTCCCGCTAACATTCTTTGTGACCTTCCCCCCGACCCCTTCACCCTTCGTGCATTTACCTTCGCCCGCCCTGTTCCCCGCTTTCCTTCTCGTTTCCACCGGCTTCGACCCCCTCGTAAAACCAAACCCTCCTGGTGCCCGGCGATGAACTGCGGTGGCGGGAGGGTGGCGCTCAAAGCCCTCGGCCAGTTATCTCCCGATTCTTGCTGAGAATTGGTTATAAATGCTAATGTACGAGCCAGCTGCGATGCAATCTCCCCGGTACGAGGGTGGACGGTTTTTTAGAAGGTGTTCAATTTTAAGGTCGGCCGCGTTGCGCACCGCGGCCTTCTTAGTATCAATGACGAATGTTGAATCTTGAGAAAAAGATGTGATTCGTTCATATATTTGGGTAGTTCAAAAAATGAATGGGGTTGAAAATCATAGTAAATCAAAACCGTATAAGATTAATACATTTATTCAGCTTTAGGAAGACTAAAAACACATTTATAAGACTTTCAGTTCTCTCAAGCAAACTTAACATATAACTCAATTATTCTAGCAACTGCCCCTACTTATCTCACGTAAGAATTATGTACGTGAGAATGCAAGTGGTGTAAGTGGCATTTTTAAAAAAATTGAGATAATATGTTTGCCACACGTAGGATTATTAATAATTATGACATAGACTTGAATCAATAGCTTCTCACACGTCTGACAATAAACAATAAAATATCTTGTGCTAAACAGGAGTATCAAAAGGCAACCCAGCTTTGAATCCAAGCTTGAAACAAAAAGAAGAAATGAGTGACTTATACCACTTGCATTCTTACGTACATTATTGGATCCACAATTTAATAAAAAAAAATGTGAAAACTCTATCAACTTATTATATCTTCTTATAAACTACTCAATCTTTTTCGATAATGAAGCAAAACAATTCGTAGCAAGCGTGTACGAAGATATATCAAAACATCGGTAAACAAAGTGCAACGACATAGGGACAGGGGGTTGGCAATTCGAAACAGGGATGGAAGAGGTCAAATCAGGCAGTGTAGGCGCCGCTGTCGTCGTGGGAACCGATTTACGATTGCAAGCGTGCTTCGACAGTTTGTTCCGAAGGGACGACCGCGACCTCGTTCGTCGGTGAAAAGGAGGATCGAGTGAACGGCGATAAATTAGCATCGAGTTAACATCCGACACGTTGAAATTCATTGTTCTCGTTTAGTTTTTTGGACTCGTACCACTGTGTGTAGTAAACACGTTTGTTCGTTCGTTCAAGTCGTGTCTGGCAATAAGAGATTTCTAATCTATCTTTACTGTTTCATGGGATGATAACAGACTTTTATGGCGGACATCACATCAATGTAAAACATTGACAAAATAGTAGAAATGTTCAACGATTTAAAACGTTGATTCCTGGATCTAGGCCGCTCACCAAAGAATTTCAATAACCCCGTGTTACGTACGATATTAAAAATACCATTGCGGCAATTCTGGTTTTCAACTTACGACGCCGCCGTATAGATATTTATATGTATAATACGAGTTCCGCGTATATAAGAGATACGAAATCTGGCCACGGAATTTTCGAATTTAAATATCTGCGAACATCCAGCCAAGCGCTCACGGATTCTTGAATCACAGCTAGCTAGCGAAGGATATATGAAGAACTCCAGGGCTTGAAACCAGTTGATCTAGCTATGCATTTATGGATGTCGAAGCCACCATGAGTTGCGTTGCGCTACTCCGTATCGCGCCGCATTGGTTTCCTGCTTACGACGAATCGACTTTTCCTTTTCCAACCGATCTGCCGCGTAGCGTCGCCGTCCCCCTTTTTCTTCATTTTTATCCACCGCATCGCCGTCCAGGGCTTCTTACAGTTTCTTTTGTTCGATCCCGTTCGGGCTCCTGTATTAGTGGATTTGAGGATGATCGTCGATTATGGTCTCTCCAGCAGCAGCTGGTTCTCGAAGAAGTTCACGTGGAAACAGGAATTCCAAAGAACTACTCCGCGATTTCCCAAAGGTCCATCCTCTCGATAATTCAACGTCTCGCGCCAACCTAGAATTCAGCTGTCTTCTACGAGACATCGGGAGCCATTGTATGGTCCGGTCCGACGAACGGAACTCCGATTCTTTTCGGAATTTGATACGGCAAACAGTGAAGAGATTCGAAGAACCGATCCTTCACGATTTCACTATTCTCTTCTCCGTTCAAATCGATACTTCCAAAGCATATATCCATACAATTCTAATTAAATACTGCAAGGTTTATATCGGTAAAATGAAATGGACGTTTTGCTGTGTTTCAATTAGCAGTTCGTTCTCTCAATGACAACGGCAGGACGATAAATAGTTCCACTATCTGAAAGGTAGAAAATAAGCACGAAAAGCGTTGGGAAACGGTCGCCGGTAGGAAGAGAGACGACGCGGAGTTCGGTTTCATTTCGCATGCAACGATTCGTTTCTCGACGCGTTGAAATATTACCGCAATACCGGTTTGCCAACGCGTAAAGAAAAGTAACCGTAGAATCCAATCGACCAATCCTATTTTCTCGCTTCTGTTTGCAGATTACCTGGCCCCGGCGATCGACCGGAAGGAGAACGACACCACGGGCTCGCGCTCGTCGCCTCGCCTCGTCTCGCCTAGTCCAGTCGCGGAGCAAAACGCTGATTTATTCCCGGGGCCACGCCGGAATGAAAACATGGCACCGGGTAGAGGGCATAAGCAAATTACCGGATCCGGAGACTGACCGCGTTAAGCGGCTTTTCGCAGTGTGAGTTCACGCCCGAAAGCTCCCGTTAAATTCGACAAACCAACGAGACGCTTGGACAAAAAAGCGAATAGCGGACACAACTGGAAAACAAAAAGGAGTAGAGAGAGAGAGGGGGGGAAGAAAAATGAGTGGGTGTAAGCTGAGTAGAAAATTCGAAAAGCGAGGGTACCTCATCGCAAATACTTATTCCGGAAATCCTGTTTGTATGAAGGCTTGAAGTTACCATCTACCATACCTGACTACTACACTTTCCGTCTCGCGTCCGGCGGGCGTCACTCACGGCTACAGTTTCTCGCCTCCCTTGTCCTCCGTTCTTCGACCAAAAGAGAGAGAACTTGGAAGAAATACGAAAAGAAAGAAACAAAGAAGAAGGGGTACGAACCGGGAGAAACGGCAGGGGAACTCACTCACTCACTCTCCGGTGGCTTTGCATTCAACCGAGTACGGAGGAAAGTTTAAGTGTGTGACTCATGGAGACACTCTTGAAATTCACTCCGCGCCGTTCTTTAAGTTTCTATTTTCCTCGCTAACAGAAAGAAAAAGAAAGTCGACTACTCGTGTAGCGGATTGCGCCTTTGCCTGTACCGACACGGACGTCGCAGTGCCACGGTTTCCGTTCGTGATACCGCATCGGCGAGTACCTAGTGACTCATGGAGACACTCTTGAAATTCACTCCGCGCCGTTCTTTAAGTTTCTATTTTCCTCGCTAACAGAAAGAAAAAGAAAGTCGACTACTCGTGTAGCGGATTGCGCCTTTGCCTGTACCGACACGGACGTCGCAGTGCCACGGTTTCCGTTCGTGATACCGCATCGGCGAGTACCTCTAATCGATAAGGTCTCGAGCCTAGCCCTGCCGAATGCCACACGCTCGATGCGTTTCCCCGGAAGTGTGTATCGGTCTCCTCTCTCCTCGGCCGTCGAGGTTTTTTCCACACGACGACGGTTCGATCGGAACGAACAAAGGGAATTGATACATCGCGAAGGATCATCGGATCGCGAAAACTCCGTTCTCTTCAGAACGCGTCTTCTCGGCTCAGGAAACGTTAAAATTGAAAACTGGCTTTCAAGGCTCATAAAGCAGAATTATGCGGCGCATAATGCCGACCGGAATTCTTTAATAAGATCGAGTTCGACGTTATTGCACCGGCGCGGCGGCGCCTATAAATATCCCTTAAACGTATGCGTACCTTAAGAGGGCAATATTCCCCCGAAAACGAGGGAACCGAACTTTTCGATTTCGATCGAATCTCCTCGATGGAGAGCTTCATCCCGAGATAGAACTAATATCCCAGAAAATATTTCAAACATCGATTTTGTCCAGAGAATTCCGGTCCGCGTTCCAGTCGGGACCGCGTGCCATCCCCTTTAAAAGAAAAAAAGGGGAGAGGGGTGAAGGAAAAATGACGGAGGCGCATAAAATCGAATGCTTGTCCGATCCTGCGAAATCCTTCCGCGATCTACCCCCGTTCGACGACCTTCCGACCAACGACCATCTTCTAAGAGGATAACGAAATTTCTTCGGAGACTGTGATCCGAGTGTCAATTCGGCGACGATCGTTTCATTTCTATATCCACTCGAATATCGGTGAAGGTGTACGCGAGCGAACATATCTTGCCTTTGCGTGAAAATATCTACCGGATCTGGTGCTTCGCGCGGTGTGATGGAGTGTTTCATGCCGCATATCGTTCGCGACGAAAGATCCGACACCTGGTGGATTTCCGTTCGCGCGACGAAGTTGAGGACAATAGATTCGAGGAGATCGCGACGACGGTCACCTCGGAGAAAATCGTCGAGGGAACTAGCCACGATCGACGCAACTAAATAGATTTCAATTATTCGTAACTGGCAGTTAGTAGATACGAGAGTCGAGGGAGACGCTTTATTCCGAAAGGCGACAAAGGTTACAACTTGCGCGCGAGATCGGGCGTCGATGGAGCACGAAGGAGATTAGAAGACCCAGTCCCCTCTTATCTCCCTATTTCTCTTCCTCGCCATTGGTCCGCCGTTATCAGCAGGCGAGCTGACAAATGCGAACGACAGGCCGCGTTAAGATACCGTTCGACAAATGAGAGTCACTGTACGGTTGCGGAATTGGGTGATCCGGTAGGAAGAAGAGAACGTTCGAAAAAAAGGATCCGAGAGAGTGAATCAAAAGGGGACGGGGCAGGATGGAGAAGGACAGTACGAGACATTACAGAGCGTACGAGGGCTTCAAGCCCGCGAACAATGGCAATACATCGTCCTTGAAGCGGTCGACGTCGGATCGCTCGAAAACACATCCATCGAGACAAGTGAGATGCCTGTGCTTCGGCGGTGTGCCGGACAAGGCCAGCCACCACTCGTTCCTCAAGGGTTGTATTATAAACCTTGGCATTTGCGCCCTGCTCGTCGCTTACATTTTGCTCGGCAGCTTCATCTTCCTCGCCATCGAGGGCGGCGCTACCGACGACGTTGAGATACAACAAAGGACACTTGCCACCACAATAGCCGGGAATCAGCCCACCAACAACAGACGGAACACCACCGCTTCGCTGAAGCAGGTGAGCGAACATCACGACTATTGATTTCCCATCCCTCCCTCCTTCCCACCCCTGTCAGCACCCTGTCCTCACTGCGTCCGACAATTTTTCCTCCCCACTTTTCATTGTTGCATTTTTACGGTCCACGTAGTTCAAATATATTGGTCACTTGTTACGTAACGACTATGCGCTCTCGCCATTGTATACGAGCAAACGCATCCTTTCGGGGGACGCTCGATAGGGTACAGTGAAACGATCCTACCCTGAGTTGAAATCTATGTACTCTTATCGTATACATATATGTTGCAGTTCGAAAGTTGATTAGGTCTTTGAAAGACGAAATTTTTGTTTACGTTCCTAAGCAATTTGTTTTGTATGCACATATTCTCATCGTTTGATAAAGTATCTACTTTGCATCAGATGTTACAGGGAGGGTGAAAGATGCATCAATAATTTTGCAACAACTGTACGTTTTTAGAAAATTGCATACGTAGATTGATCCGCTATTTCATCATTTACATCAATTGCCAATTAATGCAACACGTATTCAGATATAATTGAATATAGTATATGTATATTTCATTTATTTTTTAATCCTATCGATTATCTCATCGTTTACATTAGTTTCCAATTAATACACCGTATGTTCATAATCATGTTGAGAAAATTCTATTCATGTTTGAAATTCATATATTATACAAAACTTTATTTCGCGTTCTGAAATATGCGAGAGACAGCAACGCTTGCGAGACGAACTGAAGCAAAAGGAAGTGAAATCGTCGATTTATCGTCGCATTTCCGGTTCGATACCACCTTTCGAAGCTAAGATGACCTCGGCGCGAGACCCGAGAAGTCAATCGAATTATTGGTGCGTTCTGGCGTTGCCGTTGCTGTAGCTGGACGTCGCTTGTTTCAACGAAGTTTCATCGATCGCACGTCCCATCTACTTTTCTTCCTTCTCTTTAAAGTAATATCCGTTCCGCAGTGTCCTGTGTAGAAAAGACATTTCCGATTTCTCGATCTTATTCGTAAGCTTCCTCGTCACGTGCCACGATAACAACAGTTTACAACAGATCTCCTCATCCCGTCTCATTACTTCTTTTCTTGCGTTTCTTAGAAAAATCATAATTCATGTTTAAGCATACTCAGTATCGATCTTAAAAATTCAGTCAAATGTATTAACTACTCCCTTCGTTTAACAGCAATTTGTTTAAAAATATTAAATATTATTGGTGAGATCACGAACAATGTAGATCAATTTGGGTTTAGGGATTCTCAATGGGATCGTTTCTTTTCTGGTTCCCACAAACCTACTTCGTCTCACTTTATTGAAATCTTGCTTGTGCTTGAAACTTCAATTTTGTTTAACGCATGAAGGTGAGCTTCGAAGCCCGATCGAAAACCGTGGAGAACATATGGCTAATCACGGAGAGTTTGAACGTCCTTTACCGTGAGAACTGGACAAGGCTGGCTATCCGGGAAATCGAACGTTTCCAAGATCAGCTGGAGAACATGGTGGCCACGCAGAATACCGGGACGTACGTTGCAAGTTCTTCCAGCGACCCGGTGACAGACCGACAACCGCCCGGATACGAGTGGAACTTTGCCAAAGCGTTCCTCTACTCCCTAACGGTGGTCACAACAATCGGTAAGTGCTTACAAACTACACATAGGCTGGTGCGTGTAAAACGTTTTGTCCCTGGAATTTGAGTTTTCCGGTCGAAATTGGGATAATGAAACTATGTAATTAGTTAGGAATTTCTAAAAGTAACTGATAAACTACATGAAGTATATCATTATAACATTTGATATTCACTACTCAAATTAATACGTTGATAAATATAAATAAGGATAATTAAAATTAAACAAGACTTGGATTTGTCTATTTGCATACATAAATGCATCAGAGAACTAATTGTTAATCAATCTCCGCATCATCAGTCAGAAACTATGGATGAGTGTTTAACAACTTTCTATACTTGCAATAAGAAAAGACATAAAGCAACTAATCAGATTATATCCAACACGTATGAAAATAGTTATGGATATAAGGATTCGGTCGTTTCAAGGTATCGCAAAACGTCGAAGAATTTCACGTTCGAACGATTCCTGATAAAATGCGAGACGGGGAAGCGGTCGAAGGGCGTATGAGGGTGGGTTGGTCGGAAAAAATAGCGCGGAAGCTGGAAGAGTCGAAAGGGGTGAGACTCTCGGTGCCCGTATAGCGAGCATCAATTTTCAAGGCAAACAAAGTCCAACATTAATGTGTAATGGCCGTAGCGTTGGCCTGAGTTCTTGTTGTCCGCTTTACATATCGAAACGGCCCGGGTATTGCGACAATTTCAATGCAACCGACTTACCGGCGTTCGAACCGAGTGACGTCACGTCCGATCGTTTACTCTGGTTATTACTGAAACAGATTGGAAGTCTATGAGTTTTGTGGATATTACGCGAGGGGTGCAAGGGAAAAAGGGGACGGAAAAAATAAATAAAAGGAAAGTAGAGGATGAGGGAACGAAACGGAGGGAGCGTGCATATGGCAACGAGGGTAAATACGAAGCGGCTTATCGAATTATCTTCGTTATCTGTGCTGCGCCGTGCCGCCTCTTCTCTTTTCTTTTTAACGCGGCGATGTCACCGAACTGGTAGTGCAATTCCGAAAAAGGCTGAATGTTTGGATGAAAAAATAAATAGAAAACGGGGAGAACGGTTTTTTCGTATCGGGATCTCGCTTGCGCGAAACATCTGTGCACATATACGATCTATTCACGTTCACTACCGTCGTGTATGAAAATACTGTCCTATGTTATATGAAGAGTCCTAAATGAATGAAAAGCAGAAATCAGTATGATGTTTTACGCTTAATGTCTGTTATCTGTGCTTTCATGGTTGTTTAGTATCATCGTCAAAATCTGATGATGAATTTAAAAAAACATTAATATGTCTTAATATTTCGCGTAAGATTTTAAAAAATCATTATTTTATTCGTCTGAACTTAAGAGCATTAGAGTGTTGCATTATCGAAGAGACATTAATGATCTTTTGATATTAACAAAGCATTCCGCCCAAATGCTCTCTTTGTATCGGTTTTTGAATTCTTTTATTTTCTTTGCCACCGCTTTTCTTTTTGCACTTTTCCCTTCCTTTTCGTCAGGGTTCCCGTTTTAATCGATTTCTACAATTTTTTGTTTTGTCTTACTTTGTTCAGTTTTTGTTCTCGTCATCTCTGTTCGCTGAACCTTGTCCCCTTCCTAACTTTCTGTCAACCCATCCTTTCGGCTCAATCCTTTCTTCAGCTCCCAGTCTACGTTCCTCGCTTTCAAGAATTGAAAGCCCGTCTTAAGGTGGGATAAATTTAAAGTTCGATTTAAGCTCTCGAAATCGTCCCGGCTCGGAAATTTTGAAGGAAGTGAAATTCTATATAGTCGGATATACATTGTGTACCTCGAAAAGTAACTTCTCTCACAATGTTAAAGCGATCTCTATTATCGCGTGTACAATTTTCGTAATTAAAAACCAGTAATAATTTGATATTCATGAACATAACAAATTTTCAATGGTCAGTAATTTTAAAAATTCTCCTCCGTCCAAATACTTAAATGATTTTGAACTAAGGAAGTTCTGAATTATCTTTAATCGTATATCTATATGAATAGAAAACTAGGACCTAATTTGATACCACATTCAAAGTCATCGCATTAATTATAGGTGCCTTGTTTGCAATATAAATTCATGAATTCCCAGATCTATTATATGTACCATATCACACATAAACACTTGCGACAGTGCTGAGATACACGTATAATTCTACGTAGAAAATATATAAACTATTAATAACTTCAAAAAGATAAAAATTCATTACGATTCAATTGAAGAGATCTATCATGACTCGTTTCTCAATCATCTTTTTTTCATATATTTTTTCCATCCTGTTACCAATGAAAACAGAAATCATCAGAAATGGAAACAATTTTATCACCTGGTTGAATTTATATTTGATATAGGTACTCCGGTCTGAAATCGTATATTCAAATTCTCATTCGTTTTTATTAAGACGGCGGGGTAGATTATAAGGAAAGCGAAGAGGGAATAATCTCTTTCCTTGAAAAAAGTCACCGCAGGAAATTAATCCGTTTCACAGAAATTCTCGAGCCACACCACGGTCCTCGTTCCTATTTTCTTCCGCGTCTCGCTACCGTATACGTAGCTTTTAGTTCCTCGGCGGGAAACCACTCAACTTCTTGTTAGCAATGGTGAACGTGTCTGACCATATCTTGCCTCGTTCCCCTTCGGTGGCTCTTTTTGTGCCACTTTCCACTTAATTACAGAAAGTATCGTACCGCCTTTCACCGACTCGTTCACCCACGCACACGCGCAAACACGTAAGAACTTCAAGTATGTTAGACTCAAATCAAATTCTAGAAAACTGGAGCGATACGATATAATAAATGGAAGGTGTTCCTCTTCAGAAGTGAAATCCGTGAATTTTCCGACTGCAATTGAAAAAATAGTTTCGAAAAGGATATTTAACATTGGAAAATGGTTTTTGTATTCATATTTCATTTCTATTTGTTGTCCATGTATTGAATCAATGAATAGTTATTAAAATCATTTGAAGAAAATAATTATTCATTCAATTGAATGAGAATATAGAATTTTATAAGAAACATACTAATATTACCGTTCCATTATTAGAATTCATTAAATAATCTGATTATCTTAAATTCGAATCCATCATTCACAAGTAAATCACTTCGTAATTTCAATTCAAGCAAAAAAGCTAGTTAACTTTAGATGTAATTAACGTTCCGTCTCCAGCCTTATTTTTAATGACTTCATCTGCACACTGCATCGTTTAAGTGCATGCATATTTTTTTTAGATTTTCAAGTTTTAAAAAATCACAGAAAATTCTTGAATACTCTTCGAAGTTTCTAATATATCATTGAATTAAGTTTTGTTGCTCATTACCTTTTTTCAAGAGAAACAAGAACATGGGAAACGCGTAGGAAAATCTGTGTGTGAGTCGAAAACAACCCAGTATGCAGACGGAGGGTTAATAGTCCGTAGCGATTCGCGTCACGTGTAACGACTAATTAAAAACGGTTGAATGCGAAAATGAGTGTTATTTGTTGCAAAGTGGCTAGTTATGTATGACGTCGGATTAACTTAGAGTTGAAGACTTCGTTTCAGTGACAGGACCTCGGTATCGTTTTCGTTTCGAGTAACGAACTTTTTAATTGGCCCGCTCGACAAAATTTGATCGTCTTTCTTATAAAACTCTCTTTTAGTTCTACGTAACAGCAAACGACTTCTGGAATTGACGATTTGTAAGTCTGTTTAATAAATAAAGTTTTTATACGATTAATGATGCGTACGATTATTGTTTTACCTTTAGGATAAAATTTACAATTGTCGGCTTCCTCTTTCTTTGTGGTAAGTTTTAATAAATGCCTTGTATAGATTGCAAAATTATATTATAACATCATGGTAAATTGTTTCATATAATTAATGTAAATGAATAAATTATCAGGAACTGTTCAGCAATCGTGAAAAAATTCTTGAACATAATTTGTTGTATAAATACTTATACATTTAACAATATCCACACGTATCAATACTTTCTTATACATTACAATTTATATGTACTATATTCTTTTTTTCTTTTTCATATTAGTAAATCGTGTCGTGAAAAACTGCATGATAATCGATCACTAATCGGTAACAGGGACAATGTTTCGTTGCGCTATCTCCGGGGATGGTTCTATTCCGACACCTTATCGATCCGCGGGCACGCAAGACGGGCCGCGCCCACGATGCATCCGGTCGAAACGAATTTCGTGTTGAATTTCGTATTAATTATTTCTGACATGAAGGGGGGAAAAATTTCGACGCTAGAACGTTGACATTCTATTAAAGGCAGCGCGGCAGGGTAAACAAGCCCCTGGGTAATGTCCCCTTTGGACACTTTCTTTCCTCCCTCTCGTGTCTTTCAGTTTAATCCTACTTTAATCTTCAATTCCAATACATTTTACGTTTCAAATTGTTTCTGGAATCTATTATTCCAAAATTACATTAAATAAGTACTTGTTACACTGTGAGTCATCTTTGGTAGGGAAAGTCTCAGAATATTATTCAATAAATGTGTTTATGTAATAAGAATTTTCTTTTTTAAGTCAAAAACTGAAATAACCACGGTATCGTTGATTTGTACAATCTCCTATGATACTTTTCAACATACAACGAGTTCTTATCGACCTATCCGACCGATTGCACTCGAAGGGAATAATAAAAAGAGATTCGACAGAATTCTCGGAGAGATAACTCGCCTAGACTTGGGGTATCTCATAATCTATTGGAAAACAGCTTTCACTTCTACGGTAGTATCAATCTTGCAGATAAACATGGTAGTTCTTCGAGATAAGTGGGAAGAGACTTTGTCATGCGCGTCCCATCGAGGAAACGGCATAAAGTATTCGATGCCGAAAATTCCATATCCGGGTGAAATGGTCGTCCCGATAGGGTGGACTAAAAGACACGTAGCGCCAGGTGATACCCACCCGAGGAATATTCGTTGCGAAAGGGGGATAAAAATCGGGTCTGATCCTCGGGATCCGGGCTCTTGGTCCTGGTCCAGCATCCAGCACTATTTTCCGAATACGTAACTCCGACTTGTGGAGAGGCAATCGGCCAAATATTCATGTGATCTTCCATGTATCGAGAAATATACATATACGAATGGAAACTAGTCTCCCATGCGATACGTAAACTGGATTACACGACTTAAGTGTCGCAAAATACAGTTCACACAACTTTTGTATCCAGAAAAGCTTTCAGATCATGAAAAATTGAAAGGTTTCGTAACCGGATATCTATCGTACCCTTGATGGATCTTCATAATCTTTTCAATAATTTAATAATTGAACAGTATAAAAAATGGAAAGAGAAGTGTTTGTTAAATTTTTACACTAATTCAGTGTACTGATCGTTGGGTAATAAATTACTATTAACTGATTAAAAATAAATGAAGTATCAGACTAGCCAGGGGAACCAAAGCATGAAATACCCTCGGCTTTCGTGGATCAACCAGGATTTGATCCCCCGTAAGCTAGAGCATCATCTATTCATGTAGTTTTGTCACTGTATCTGCTTAACTCGAACATACACCGACATGAAATTCTATATTCTTTCACTATAAGAAACCTATTAATATTCTTCAATATCTTCAAGATACTTGATTCAAACTATTTTAAAGCAAATAATTAATTCGACGTCTTAAAATTTTCGTTTATACTATCGTGAGCTCATTAATCAACTATTGAATAATTAATTCTTGAAATAGATTAAAATTTCATGATTATTCTTTTAATCACAAGAATTAGTCGGTCAGTGGATATTTCCAAATTGATTAG